CTTGTCTGGTATGAAAGAGATCATGACTCATGAGCTAAAAAAAGTTAACAAAACTCAATATGCTTGTTATTGCTTTTTTAAAAAAACTTGGCTTGTCAAAATAATTTTACTTTATTATAAGTTTTTCTTTATGTAGTATGAGATCTGAAGTTCTGAACAATAATAATTTTTTTAACAGCGATAAAAAGAATCTTGATCAAAATAAGTTTATGTATCCCATTTATACAAGCTTAAGGGCTACGGTTGGATTTCATACCCAGTCGTCGTCTTGCATTGCCAGAAACATACATGTAGCAAAGACATAGTTAAAAATCTAGTTATATATATTATTTTAAGAGAAAATCGAAAAATTATTCACTTACCCGTTTTATATAATTTCATCAATTAAGTTACTTTTTTAAAAAGGAGAGTTTTGATTTGACCAATATTCGTTTCTATATTTAAATTAAAAAAAAAACAGAGAAATAATGGTATATATCCCAAAAAACCCATATAATAAACAAGCAATCAGCCAAAAAAATCCCCTAACTGAAGAACATCGAAGAAGAAACAACAAAATGGAAAAAGTAACAAGCATTTTTGTTGTTATTCTCCTCATTTCTTCATGTAAGTCTTCCAAAATTTTGTCATTTATTTTGTATAGAAAACACACGTTTTTGATATATATTCTCATAAACTAAACTAGATGATGAGATAATCATCTAGCTGGTCGCGATGCCTCGGTTTGATTTGACATGAATTTGGTTCTGGTTTAAACATTGTTTACAGGTATGATGATGATGAGTGAAGGTCACTTTCGATGTGAGAATGTAAAGGATTGTGATCCTCGTGGTTGCAGAGGAACCTCACATGTGATATGTAAAGACCACAAATGTACATGTGGTCATGGTGCTCCTATTGGTGGTGAATGTTTTAGACTCATTGATTGTAATCTTTCTGCTTGTCCACCAAATACTCATGTTCTGTGCAAAACTAACGTATGCACTTGTGTCCCCAATTGATAATATGGTCTCCCTATCGTAGTGATTTAGATTACATATGTATTACATTTAGGAAGACAATTCCATTATAATTCAGCTATGAATGTGAGATGTGTAACATCTGCGGACATTAGTAATAATACTATAGAGTTTTTTTTGTGGTTTTTGGTAAAGAGTAATTAATAATATAGAGTTGTTAGCCATTTATACGTTTTGAAAGTCTTGGTTGCTTTTAGTTAATCAATAATAAATACATGCTCTTATTTAGAATATTGTTCTCGGCTTAAAAAATTAGTCTATTGAAAACTACGTTATTTCATTTGTTACAGTATAAATACTCTCGTCGTGGAAAAATTTTCTTAGTTCTAAGAAAAGCTGTGTGATAATAGAATATATAATCTGCAGTTAGTCAAAACTAATTATGATGATCCAAATATTTTTACATGTTTTTATTTATGTGGAAAATACTAAAACGACATTTATATTAAAACAAAAGGAGTTATTTCCAGCTTATATAACTCGATATCAACATATGTATGTGAAGTACGTTGTTTTCTTTTATAAACGATTCGAACTTTTATTTTGATCAAAACAATAAACATAACTAAATGAAATAACTTGACTACCACTCTTTTTTTTTTCAAAAAAAAAATTACCTACCACTTTACTATAGATTTTATTTCTTGATGTAATATGAAATCAAGGTAAATATTAATAACATTTTTTATAATAAAGATAAAAGCAATATATTGTTAAAAAACTTTAATTAATTATCCCATTCATACATAAATTTTAAGGCTCCGGTTGGATTATCGCGTACGTATATTCCATCTTCTTGCGCTTGCCAAAAACATACGTTCGGTTTCCTACCCCCACATACATCATGTATGAAACTTTCACTTCCAACAAATGCGTTAAATTTTACATGATGCACATAATCAGGTCCCTGTACAAAAATATATATGTATATCAGATGAATAAGTCAAATATATAATTAACCATTAAAATCTTCAATCAAATTGATATTAAATTTTTACAAGATAACCATAACATGTTAAGAAAAATCATTTGTGTGTGGGTGTTTATGAATGTAGTTTTGGTTTATTCATTATATTCTTAGCATAATCATTTCTTTACAATAAAATAAGGCAGAACAAAAAAAAACAATTTTAAGTTTATGAAAACATGATCCATTTAATGTATTAACGCCCAATATAAACTTCGTAATGAGCAAAACAAACAATTTACTGTACATAAACTGAGATTAAAGAATATGAAAAGTAAAGTAAGTTACCTTCCATAAATTACACCATATCAAAGTTTTTGGGTAAATTCTAAAGTATATCTTGTATACAATCTCGACAGGAAGAAAAGAGATTTTGGTTGATGTACCTTTGGCTCTACACTGCATCATTAGTTTGTTGTTACCTCCAAGATTATTTGAAATTTCGATGTTAAAACGTCTGAAAATAAGAATGGAGTTTATTCTTTGGATTGAGATTAACAATAAGAGAAAACATATGAAAACTTTCCGCATTTTTGTTTTTACTTTTCTCTTCAAAT